GGGAAAGCTGTATTTATATTCAAAGCACACCAGTGCAGTACATAATGATTGCTTTCACACCATCGACCCTAGATATATTTGGAAAACCTGTTGGAATGCGCTTCCTACTTATGTGAGTTGGAACATCTATTGCGGTTTTAACGTTGCTGATAATCATTTGTTACTAATAGTTTAGGTAACGAAAACTTATCTTAAACTCAATTCGCCTGGGTCAGAAAAGGCGGCTTGCGTGGTATTAACCACAGCCCGGGGAACGGCAGCGGAACCTGCCTACCTACGCGTATACCACCTTCCTGTTTAAGCGCTAGATAGGGTTCCTAAGAAAAACTGACGTCTGCCAGAACCTAATGATTGTGTAGGAAAGTGCATTAAGAATATGGCTTTGTTACTAGTTTTGAAAAGCATTTATCTAACTGGGTCAGAGACAGTGTGTGTAAATTTATAAGAACTGAATCCTACACTACAACTTTCTGTACTTATTTTCATGGAAGTAAAAGTATGATTATTGCGCCCACCGTTATCAGATTAATAAAACTAATTCAAAAAGCATTACCCAAGAAAGCAAAGAACCTACATATGTAGAGCAAGTTGATGCAAGCAATAATCCAACTAATCAACATGGAAAACACAATAACACTACTTTGTTCAAAAATAAAAATGAAATTTTGAGCAGTTGGATGCAGCCTGACAGTGTTTGAAAGAAAACATCATTTCCACCAGCTGGACCGGTTAGAATCGCATAAATTTTAATGACAGAACAGTACAATTTGGTTTTATTTCTAAGTAAATATCCTAGGCATGATATGGTATCATGAGAGCGACAGTAACTTGTATGCAAAGCCAATTTACTGATCGTGAGAAGGTCCATATGGCGATGCAAAATGTTAGCACGAATGTATTAATGTAACTGGTACGAATTACATGTGAATATACCTTAACGTAACAGATATATTGCACTTACTTTCTTCCGAATGCAAAATGTTCCATTCAAAACAGTTATGGAGTATGTAATCGAGTTCGCTAAACTATCCCTACGTGATGGATGTCCGAAATAAAACACTAGATGGATACACTGGTGAGCAAATTTCTTGTGTAGGAAGGACAATGATAAGCATATTGCCCATTCGGGAAGAGCAGCGTACATCTCAGGGCTCTATTGAGATAACGAGGTGCCCGGTTATTTGCACCGCTGCCGGTAACATAGGCTATCGAAAGCGAAATGTGAAGTTCTGTCCAGTCTCTTTGGCCTGTATTTAACGTAGGATCTGTAGAAAACTGGTAGTTTTTACAATCTGCCCACCACAATTATTTAATTAGCATGTAGCCAGCTGAGAATGTCGCCTTCCCGCGTCTACTACCGGTTACATGTCTAGCAGTAAGTAGGGTGAATGGCAGACCACGCTGCATTTCACCAACGGAAAAATACTCAGCTAGACATCGTTGCACACTAACACAGAAAATGCTTTGAAATTCCCACTTTTCTAGTTCTACGGAATATATAAGACCGTGGCTGTTCTATGAACAATTTGTCATTTGTTTTTGCATTGAAACATACATATTGTGGTCAATATACAGCATTTGCGAGCAAACAATAATAGCAACCAACATGTAGAGGGAGTACAACCAGATGGTCATAGTGGAAAAGGCATCATTGTCTAGAAGCATATCTAAGAAACAATAGGCAGCTTTACATTCAGAAGTGGGCCATTGTAGCTCACACAGTATGAAACGTGAAACAATGTACGATGCCGAAAACGTTCCAATAACGAGTGTAGGTGCGCTCAAAATAACAGGAAAGTCTGCCTTGACCAGCCTAATATCTATATACCAAGAAAGCGCATGCACTTACACGGATTACTTTCGGCTAGATGCATTCTCTAGTGGGGCAAGAAGACAAAATTTCTGAGCAATTGGTATGTTAAAAGTTTGCTGTTGATTTCTGTTTTTCATTAATCGGTTGGAGAATTTGGTAACTAATTTTAGTAATTTGTCAGTCCAGAAACAGTGAAATTTCAGACCTTTTGACTTACAGACAGTCTATGGCATTCAAATTGGTGAAATTCAGGTCTTAAGAACAAGGTCAATTTCCAACCTGTTCAGGTTAAAGTATCCTATTTATGCGCAATTAATAAATAATTTTATGTGAAGTCCTGAGGAACGGATAGGATCCATTGTTAGTTGCGATGTTCAGCGCGAGCAGATCCCTAATGCAGAGACTTGTTTGCCGGTTGTAAAAGCAGCCATAGACACTGTGTGACGTAATACTTCTTCTGTCATGAGTTCAGAAAGCATAGCAAACAGTACCATTTGTGTGAAATAGTTGGCTTACTGTGCGTGACGCTGAAAATCATCTTCATCAGCGGAGTAGTTGATAGCAAGTTTCATGCCGCTCATACTGGGACCTGTTTTTATACAATGCTGGCATTTTAAATATGCGATATCCTTTTAAACAATCATAAAATAACATTATTTTGCCACTCCAAATGTCCTGATTTTGACCTAACTATAATTGTTTTTGCACATCTTCCGGGTTTAGTTTTGAAAAATAACTAGGATTCCAGTTTTGTCCTGGACATATATTTGACTTCGTGGAATAGTATTTCGGGAAATCTGCTGCGTGTAATTTAGAAGATATAACGTTTTAAACTGCGCAAATAGTGTTTACATTCTAGATTCTCATTATAAGATATACAGTATTGTAATATTTTCACCAAATATATTCACTACATGAACTTTCGAATGTCCGATAGCAGGAAATATAAAATGTATAACATATCTAACTTACGCTGCAAATAACAGCTGCTCGTGTGCAGCGGATATACGATGCCGTTCCAAAATTACTGGGTGTTTCTGCAAAAAATTAAGCAACTGTCTATGCGGCTTACATGTTATTTCGATTGGTTTTGGTCTGCAAATTGACCTGTGACATTCGGTGCCACCACTTTGTTGCAATGTTCATGGCATGCATGTAAGTAGAGGATGATCTGTGCTGAAGATATAGCAATCCACTGCGTTTATCTAAGACCTAGATGTTTAGCTCACCCACTTGCAGGAGAAATGTCCTGGGTCAGAATCAAGGAGGATTTAGCTGAAGAACGAGCAAAAATGCAGCTTTCCTTGGAATTACGTGTAGATTACTGACTGAAGCTCTTGGCAAAAATCACTGTCAAATATCATCAAAGTCTCTTAATTATTTACACATGTTGTTGTCAAAACTACCCTTTACCGAAATTAAAATCACACCATGTTTGTCTTTTGATAGACTAAAATGGATATTTTAAGAGATTCTTTGTTGATGGTGTGTACTTATTAACCTGATAATCTTGGGTAGCATTTACCAGTTTTAATGAAGCCTTATGGGATTTTAATGATGTTTGAGTGGGTTCTTCGAAGCATCGAAAAACGCAACCCTATCCACGAAGTTTTCAGGCATACAAAAACTAGGTTAAGTTTACAGGATCCCCTAGAATAGGGTGCCAAACTGGCACTGGCTATTTCTGTTCGTTAGTGATATTGAACACAACAGAATTGTGACTGCGTGAATGCATAGTTTAGTGAAATATGTGAGTCGATTCTCATCTGAGATGAAGATCATTTGGTACCGATTGTTTAATCAAGCACCTTGGATAAGTGACAGAAGCTTGATGCACTTCACTTTTATTACGCTGTATTCTAATGGCAGCGAAGGCGAAAGTTTGCGTCCTTTAACACTAGATCCAAACTGTGCAGGGGCATTTGATTTTGGTTTCCATATATACACATTTGAAATGATTTGATAGCTGCGGAAAACAAGTACACGTTTTCAGCGCCCACGAAAGACAGCGACGTGATTCCCCAGAATCATAAAAATTTGTAGTAGAATGGTTAGAGTTAAAACCCTTTGACAACAAGTATATGTTATTGTAAGCCACTGAGACAGCCATTTCAAAATGTCAGTGAAAATAGGGGTGTGTATAATTAAGGTTAAATGAGTATTTCTGTTCGTCACAGTCAGCCGACAATCCAGATAAATCAACTACCTATTCGGAAAAGCACCAGACGGCCGTTTCGCACTATTGGGGCTCCTCAGTGGTGCGCATCCTTCGGTCCTCTACGGAGGATCGAACCCATGACTGCTAGTGGCTTGTGCTAACCGGCCCGCAGCTTATGCAACTGCGCCATGGAGGACGGTTGTTGACCATCACGAATGGTTATCTAACGGCGATATAGCCCGACCCATCCTACATTGCCATGCAGGCACCTGCCATGCAGATGACAGCGGTTTTCCTTCCGGTGTCAGGACTTCCCAGTTACGGCAGCTATGGATCGACATAGCAGTTATGGAATCCGTAAGGGCGAATTTGTAATACTTATGAAATACCACTTTACCTATACTTTGTTTGTCGGGACAGCGCTAAATTTCTACTCTTTGGTGCGGATGGTTGCATCTTCTGTGAACAAGTTACAATAAAATTTAACCGGTACCCCTCTTCTATCTATCGGGTTTCAACTGTGAAAGCTAAATGTTGATTGCAAGGAGTATGACGTCAATTCCTGTTCAATAACGCGACCAGGTCGGTGGCAGACACATAGTGCTCCCTCATCCTGTCAGGAAAAAGCCTCACGTTACAACCAATATAATCTCTACAGGAACGGGAGAACAAGTAAATATTTTCATGTCGATGCGAACAAGCCTGTTGTCTGCGTGGTTGGGTTCCAACCACATCGTTTTCAGCAGCATTCAAAACTATACTGTTAGCGCTTACTACTAGACCGAAACAAAAACGAAAATGAACAACTGCTAGGCAGCTGGCTTATTCTCGGCCGTTTAAAGAGTTTTTAATAGTATGGAACGCCTTTTGTGTGCGCACCACCATGGTATGTGTGTTACGGGGTCGGTAATTCGTTTTTTCACTTATTGTCTGAAGTTATTGTACCGATTGGTGACTATGCTTCCATTTTTTATATTGTGGGGTGGGGTGGGTGTTGTTGGTTTAATATATATATATTGGTTTTTTTGGATGGGGGGGGGGGGGGGGGGGGGGGGGGGGGGTGGGTGGGGGGGGGGGGTGGGGGGGGGGGGGTGGGGGGTGGGGGGGTGGGGGTGGGGGGGGGGTGGGGGGGGGGGGGGGGTGGGGGGGGTGGGGGGGGTGGGGGGGTGGGGGGGGGGTGGGGGGGGGGGTGTGGGGGGGGGGGTGGGGGGGGGGGGGGGGGGGGGGGGGTTGGGGGGGGGTGGGGTGGGGGGGGTGGGGGGGGGGGGGGGGTGGGGGTGTGGGTGGGGGGGGTGGGGGGGGTGGTGGGGGTGTGGTGTGGGGGGTGGTGTGGGTGGGGTGGGGGTGGGGGGGGGGTGGGGGGGTGGGGTGTGGGGGTGGGGGTGGGTGGGGGTGGGTGTGGTGGTGTGGGGTGGTTTGTGGGGTTATGGTTGGGTGGGGTGTATGGAAGTTAGGGGGAAGTGATTAGGGTAGGAATTGGGATTTAATGGAATCATCACCACGTTTCCGTGGGTAAAATTTGTTGGACTACAGATTTGTGGAGGAGTTTTAGAAAGACTTCCACCGATGTGCCTCGACCTTGCATTACGCGATATTCGGTGTTATGTCAATGTAGCTCACGTCTAATTTTCCAAAAGCTAAACTAAGGGAAATATTAAGGACTGTCAGCCCAGGCTTTGCATATTACAATAGTTTCTGCATTGCCTAACCTTCCCACAATATGACGCGCTTAATTGTCCGGAATGAATGTCTAATCATGAGGCGTTTCCGGATGCGACTAACATGACATTGTTGTTGGGTCGCGTTAATGACCCTGTGTGATGCCAAAACCTATCCCCAGTAACTATGTGAGCAATCACGAGTTACTGAGGAAACCGAAGCCTGAGAAAATATCAAAAGACCAGGTCTGGCAGGTAGGTTGTATACCACAGGAGTCCCTGATAAAAGACAAGCAAAACGTATGCAGCTAAAAGCACTGTAAATGAGATGGAAATATTTTGGTTTTGCTCATCTCAACACTAGTCCCCCACGACCGCGGTTTCGTCCTGGTTTGGACTTATCACGTGGTGTACTCTGAACTGGAGTGGATAACAGAGACTAATGGTTCACGGCCGAGGCCATAAACACCATGCCACTGAGATCTGCGAGCAGCGCTTAATACAGCGGAAACGAAGTCAAACTTGGACTTTACAAGTGGTTTTCAAGATTGCGAATTATGTTTAATTTAAACTGGGTTAGACGCGAGCGTAAGTGGGCAATTATATTTTTGGGTCCTGTTGTGGTTAAAAATCGTCTGATTTTTAGTATGCTTTTGATGTTTTTGCTGACCCGTAGTCTTACAGACAAAACCTGCCTTGTAATCCGAGGGCGAAGTTTTGAGCCTACTCAGGGACCCGTCTAACCTCGCAGTGTGCTTAGCACACTTGCGAATGGTAGATCGTGAGGCAGCGAAGCGTAGTTACTGCGTGCCGGTGTACTGCTTAGGCTGGATTTGATATCTATTAGATATTTACGCCGATTAACCTGTTTTATTAATACAAGCGTATTTTGTAAAAAAGGCCTTTGTTAAATCTATTATGGATAAAGAAAGAGTGAAAATATTTGAGGAGAGAGTTCATGCGATCGATCAAGTCATCAAGTACTCTCGAGCGACCACCGATAGTTGTTGTGTATTCACTCCCTGACTTTATACCACAGAATGTGTAAAAATAAGAAGCAGTGTACTAACTCACAAAATCGCTGCAAAAATAAAGATGCGTTCATGGAATATGAGGTTTATATATGAGGACGAAAATGATGCTGTCATATTTTAGCAAATCGACCTTTTCTGGACTAGAACAAACATTCTCCTATAAAGGTTGATTTTTTCATTAACTATCTCCCAACAAAGTTATGATTGTATTCCAGTGTGCAAGGAGAGGCGGACGATATTTTGCTCTGCAAGTTTAGATAAGTAGTCCTCATGAAATTCTTTATAGTATTTCAAATCGATAAACCTCGCTGTTTACTTTTCAATAGTGATGTATTGTTATTTAAATTTTCGGTAGTCTCTAGTTATCCTGAAATAAGTGTTTACTTTGTATATTTGAAGCTTTGTTTCTTTAGATTTCTTATCGTAATATGCCTGCATCCACAATATTTATAAACAAGTATCCCACGATAAGATGCGCCATTTCGCATTGGTTATAAGTGCGATGACCCTGGGTTCAATCATAAATTTTAACGTCATGAAAAAGGAACTAAGGATCCCGTCTATGCAAGTGACATTAAACACAAGGGTGAAATGTGTGTGTGTGTGTGTGTGCGAACGACAATTCCTCGATTGCCACTTCAACGTATTAGGCCTGATTGACGGATATCTGAAAGCCACAGTTGTCCTGATCGAGGTCACCAGGCTTAAAATTAGCAGCCGCGTTCAAGTCTTGGTTAATAATCTTATTCGATATATATCAATAGCCCTAATATCCACTTAAAACGATAAAATCAATGCACGCCAATTTCCTGGGAAAAGATAATGTGTTGGAGTCCAAGGACATGTGGGGCAAACTATTTGACCTTAAGGAAATATGGTCGAACATATTCTGAACCTGACACTGTTTTCCAGTAAACAGGAGTAGTAGGGAGATTTGAATGGTGTAATTTAAGTTTCATGCGATAAACGAAAGCATAGTCTCCTCTGAGATATACTTTTATGTTTTCAGTGAACAATGATTAATAATTGGATGCGTTGTATTTTAACGGAGAGCAACAAAACAATATACAGTTACGGAAAACATAATTTGTGACTGACCGCGTTGATTGCAATGCGCCAGCAGAACCCGCAATAGAGACGATTTATGTTCGTTGCAACCAGCCGACAATTCAGCTAAGTCAAATAACTCTCCGGAAAGCATCAGACCGTTGCTTCACCCTATTTGGGCTCGTTTGTGATGCCCATTCTTCGGTCCTCTAAGTAGGATCAAATCCATGACAGCTAATGGTTTGTGCTGACTTGTAGTCATGAGTTCGATCCTCCGTAGAGGACTGAAGGATGTGCACCACTGACGAGCTGAATAGTTGGAAGCGGCTGTCTGGTGCTTTTCCGGAGAGGTAGTTGAATTATATAAATTGTCGGCTCATTGCGACGAACAATATTACTCGCTAACGTCGTTTTACTCTTAAGTAGAGACGATTTACACTTGGAAGCTGCAGTTGCATTATCGAAACGCTTCCCTGCAATATAAAGGAGTACACATACGCGAACAGTCATCTCAAGAAAATTCTACTGCTTGCGAGCAAAACGAAAAATGTGGTTACAAAATGTTGGACAGTGATGCCTTTACCTCGGACGATTTTCAGGTTTCCAATTAAATTTCATTTTACATTCATGCGACTGCCACGAATCACACTGGACTTATTAGATCGGAGTTCCCGCTGGCTGGACCGACCACGCGCTAACTAGAAGGGTAGAATAATAATTTTCCGAATGAACAGAGCGTTCCAATTTTACAAAAAAAGAGCATTACATTTTCAAGAAGTAGGCTCCACCGGCGTTCATGCACAGTTGTATGTATTCAAACCACCTGTAGAAGCAGCTAGACTATACCAAAATGGCTAGCCCTTCAACCAGCTCAATGAAAAACTCTAATTCAGCAGCTGGAGACTCGTAGCAGATTCGATCCATCATGCATTTGACATTTGAGAAAACAACCTAGTCACACGGAGCCAGGTCTGGACAGTAAGTTGAGTGACCTGGATGCGGTCTCTAAACAGAAAATCTACGACGATATGGGATCTGTTGCAGTTGCGTTGTCACGGTGCGGCAAGGTTGCTCGCCTGGCTACAGTTTCTAGCACTTGTGTCAGATAGTGGGTGACATACCAGTCCCCGGTGACTGTGCGTTGCTGTACGAGAGGTACAGTAGCCACATGACGCTTTTTGGCTACGAACACAGCCAACATATGCTTGACCACAATGTGCCCACACCGAGAGTTCTGAAGCGGCGCCCAACCAACGGCCGTCTTCTTAGACGATTGTTGCTGGGCCACTGGGTCGAAAGTGTGCACCCGGTTCTCAGCACTACTGTGAATCTCCCAAAGAGCATTAGAACGTCCACTAATAAACCTGGCATGTATGATGGCGTCACCAAAACATCCGAGCTGTTTTTCAGTTCTCACAGAACTGATGGGGTACTCAGCGTGTGTAAACCATTCTGAGACCGATCTACTCAAGCGGGATGCAGCGGAGAGGTTCTGATGAGATGCCGGTGGCTTTCTCAAGCTATAACATAGTCACATATACGTTCCTTACCAGCACCACTTGCACGGCATCAATGATTTTGAGGTGGTGGCCCCCACAGGTAGAGCACACCTTGCGTCGTCATCCAAGGAACGTTTGTCCCGCTTGAATTCGAAAACCATACAGTGGTATTGGAAGCACATCCTCAACAAAGTCAGCATGTAATTGCTCAACTCACTTGTAATAGGTCAAACCACGTTTGTTGTCAGAGAAAATCATCGCCCTCCAATGATATCGATTGACTTTCGCACCTACATTCAGAGTATGATGACACCTGTGACTTCTGAGCTGTACGGAGCTGCCGTTATATGGTTCTGTAAGTTGAACTCACTGAGCAGTGTTCAGAAAATATTAGAGTTCACACTGTTATTGTCACGTCGTCTGAACCTAGTCTGCGTGCTGCTTATGCGGAAACTTATTGCTCTGCATTCGCGTTTATCTCAAAAGTATAATGTTCATTTGCTGCGCTTTTCGATTGATCAATTCGCGTGTAACTTAAAAGTGTTTTTCAATTATTCGTTTCGCAATCGTTTTTATGATGTGTGATATTTATGCTTTTAAATGTAAATGGCAACATGGATGTTCTATATAGGACACTAACAATCACCTAATTTGGATCCACGTTCATTAGGGCACCCAAGGACTAAAGTATTTGGTGCGATCCGCAACAGCTGTCAATTATCTAACGTGTTGGCAGCAGGAATGTGATTTATGCATTGTGCTAAGTTATTACATGGTTAATAAGTCATCAGAAGCGAGTTACTTACGTCTTGCGGATAGAGTGTCCAAAATTTATCAAATTACGTGCTTGCCTTTACAAGTGCTTTTTGATTACTGCTCGTCTCTCTACCTGTAGATCGCAGACTAAGTTGCAGTTTACCCAAGACCCAAATCCGATGAACGTATTTCCCATAGAAACGCACAGATTTGAGCTGTAGCTCCTTCGTATCTTGCTTATAAAACAGATTACGCGGTTCCAACTAATACTTCGGCTACAGTGTTGCTGGACGTGTTGGGTCTGCACCTTGCAAGCGTTTTTCTTATAAAAATCACAATTGTCTGCTTTACAACAGTACGACGTGGTGCATGTGACTCGCTATGAAATAAAGCGCTTGCACTTGCCTGTCCCAATTATTGTACCTAATCCGCCAAAGTCCGCTATCCACCATAAACCTTTTTTTGGATCCCGTCTTACGCAGAAAATCTGAACGAAAACATTCACAAATGAAGCAGCACAGACACGGATCCAACGACCCAACGCGCTAAATGGTTGGCAGCATCCGGTTTCCGATTTACATGTCACGGTGGTCAGCCACAAGACGCCTGCGCCTACAGAGGGACTAAGGATGTCTTGCACTGCACCACCCACAGCTCCACCCACACACACCATCTCCAGTGTAAACCCGAAGGAATAAGACCGAAATGCATGCGGATGGGAGCCACGTTTCATCAACGGAGCCGGCCCACACTCCTTCACAGGCCAACACAAGCAAACGGTATTTGGGCATAAATCTCACACAAGGCGGTTGCTGGACCATAGTCCTCTCCAAACTGATTGCATCGAACCATTATTCGAGCCTAGCACGGCCACAAAGCTCGTTAACTCCGCACCCATCAGCAACGAACAAATGTCTTCTAGAGCCAGTATGGACGAGGTAGTGAGTACTAGACCGGTAGGTACCTGGTCAACATGCACGTCAAGCGCAGCCACACCGGGGATATCAAACAACAGCCAAGCACTTAAAACGACAATATCAAGTAAAATAAATCAAACAAGTCATACAGATACGGTGACCTAACGCTTTAATAAATGAGCATACAAAATGCATTGAATACGAACGAATCCGCGATAAGTTAAATACGTCAGAAAGTATATTTTAAGAAAATGTCACAAAGGCCAAGATGTGCTCGAAGTTGATTTAGTTTAAGCGACGTGTATTATTTAATAGTAAGTAGTTCATGTAGACATTAATATGAGATAAAGGAAAGCAGTAAACAATATAGGAAACTCAGCACTTAAAATAAAGTAATTCAGCATGCAAACACTTGAATAGTAAATCGAATGCAGCGTACCTACAAACGCTGCACCGGTTCTGCCTACCTTCTCAGCAGGACCCGTCGTCGTTTCGCTTTTGGCCCCGAGTGACCTCGCTCGTGGTTGACTAGGCCTGTTTGACTCAGGCACTCGCGACCGCATGTGCTACAGCACCATGCGCTCGATATCCATTGAGTAGAACCCATTGGCGCATGCCGCTTCCTCAGTTGTTTCTTTTTCTCTGCTTGCACGAGGGATTTATTTTGTACCTCGGCAACGGCAATCGTGATCAGATCGCGCCATGAATGCCGACCAAGCGCGGCCGATTCCTATAACCTGCACCCAATATTAGAAAGTGATAGGTCCAGCATGATTATGTTCTGCTAACAACGCCTCGATTTCATCACATGCCGCATTTCTAGATTCAGCAGACCATTATATAGCTGTTCTGGTATCCGCGTTGAATCCATACGCCACACGTGACCGAGTAACCTCAGGTGTCTCATCAAAAGTATGCAGTCCACTGCATACATTCCACTTCGGCGAAGCACTTCCGTGTCCGCAACTCTGCTGCATCAACCAATGCGCAGAATCTGTCGCAGACACTGTTCATGGAACCGCGCGAGATATCGCACATCTCGTCGGTATTCGTTCACTTTTCGCTGTCGTATAGAAGAACAGATCGCACCATGGACTTGTGCACCATCAGCTTTGTGTCAACCGTAAGCTGATGGCATTTCCACACTTCGTACTCTAGCTTCCCGAATGCCGCCGCTGCTTTTGAGACGCAACAACAAGCTCACTGTGTAGCTGCTGGTCAGTGGAAACCACACTCCCAAGCCAGCAAAAGTGGGAGGTGGGTTTCAATCCTTCAGAACCAATGATGCCTTACGGCACCATGGTAGATTGCACCTCCGGTGAAGGCTTGAAGAGACAGACAGCTTTGCTTGTGTTGATGGTGAACCCGAATTTGGCCGCCGTCGAAGCCAGAGCACTAGTCATGTGCTGCAACTCATCCGCCCTGTGTGCAAACAACACACAGTCGTCAGCAAACAGCAACATACGGATAGTTGTCTCACAGACTAGAGTTCTCGCAATGAAACGACGGATATTCAGCAAACTACCATCAATACTGTGCTCCACACGAACAACGTAAACACAAACAGCATCAAAAGCACAATACAGCATGACATGAAGATAAATATTAAATAGAGCAGGAGCTAAGACACAGCCTTGCTTCACACCAGAGACAACTGCAAAGTCATCCGAGGTCTCTCCACTCAGCTGCACCCTCGCCTGCATACCACTGTGCAGACCTTCAATCAAACTTACGAAATTACGTGGACAACCAAACGGACACAACAAGTGCCACAAAGCCTTGCGGTTCACCATATCAAATGCATTGTTGAAATAAACAAAAGCGAGTACAAAAGGTGGTGCCGTTCGCTACACTTCTCTTGCAACTGACGAGCCACAAACACCATATATATAGTGCTGCTACCCGAGGACAATCCACACTGCTCTTCCGCCACGGCGGGCTGCGCTTCCTGACTGAGCAGGATTAGGGCAATCATCTTGCCTACACAAAGCAGCAAGTTGATGCCACGAGAATTCGTGGCACCTTGCTTGCACCCTTTGCCCTTGTACAGTGATAGCACAAGGCAATCCTTCAGCGCAGGAGGGAGGTCCTCCTCAATCTACATACGTTGCAACAGATGGTGCAGCGCAGTCACCAACGCAGGTCCGTTTTGTTTCAATAATTCAGGCTAGATCCTGAAGGAACCTCCACACTTGCCGTTTGGCAGCTGAACAAGTGCTCGCTGTGTCGCATTCAGTGTTGGCATGACCGCCCCACTCGCTTTCACATCGTGTTGCTTGAGGCCGTTCAATCTAGGCCAGTCAATTTTTGAACGGTTGTTCAAGAGACACTCAAACTGTCAGATCTGCATTTTGTCTGCAGTCTGTGCACAGGTAGTGCCTGAACTACCATCGATCAGTGTCCTCAGCGGCTCCAAACTCGGTCCATACACCACCTTCAAGAAGTCAAATAATTCCTTGTGTTGGTGGCGTTCCGTTGCAGGCCATCTGCTTCGCCTTCTCCGTCCACCATGCATTTTTAATGTGAGGGATCTCTCGGATCAGTACTTGTCGAATTCTGCAAAACTTACTCTTCTTCCCCAAGCCACTGGGGCCTGCGACATGAGCAGTAAATACTGCATTCTTCGCACACACATATACACCAGTCGTCGCATTGTTCGTATCAAATTAATCAGGTAGCTTACAGTTTACGTGCCTGATAGCATCATCTGCAACAGCTGTCACCTTGTCTCGAATAGCTTGCCACAGGTCCCCGACTGTGGTTATGCATTCCAAATCACACAGGCGTACAATCATCACCTTCTCCAGCTCAATATGTTACGCCACAGTGCCGCGGGAGTGAATGGCACATTTACGCCTCTGGTTCACTGCGGGAGTGCAATTCATAGATTTACAACAATAGGTGTACAGTTTGGTCCGCAAGTCAGGGCCACATTCAGCTTTACGCAGCACATGTGTCATGCGCATGTGCAAACCGCGTTTTCGTGATCGTCAGGTCTTGAGTGGCACAAGTTGACAGCAGCCTGTCACCTTTCGCATTCGCTGAACCACCGTCATCCCAACCGAGAACATCTGCCAACACAGATGCAACAAGCCAAACGCGCACGTTGCAATCACCCAGCAGAAATCATCTGTCACTCCTCGGCACAAACCATATCACGAAGGATAGCTGAGTGCAGATTTGATCACGCCCGTTATCAGGATAACGCATGGTCAGAACCTACGTGCGTATACAAGTAGCAAGCTTTTCCGAGTCGTATGCGCACGGTCATCTGTCGCACGCTGATGCCTGTTGGTTTACCCACGAGCTGGCCATTGAGAGGATCGGATTTTGTAAATCCAACCCATGTCCACGTAGTGCTAAGGTGGTGTTGCATACCCAGCAGAATATGTTACCAGCACCTACGTCATACAACTTACCTTCTTCAGCGAACTTGGTCTCACTGAGAGTCACAGTGTCGATGTTGTACTGAGTCTATTTCATCACGACCAGCGCAGTGCGTCGCTCAAGGGTCTCACTAAAGTTCTGGTCCATTAGTGTGTGCACTTTTCAGCAACTGATATTTAGTGTTATGCTCGCAGGAATACGGTTTCATTCGTGAGCAAGCTAACGCGTGGTGACTGCTGTGTTTCGGAGGTTTGCTTGCGGAACTCCAGCTTTAGTCTTTGGCTTGATAGCCTTAACCACTAGGCAGTGTGTGGTTTGGAGATTTGCTTGCGGGACCCCTCCTGGTGCGTTTGACTAAATGGCCTGACACACAAGAGAGTGGTAAGCAGGTCCAGCTCGGGAATATGATTACAGAGTCAGATTGGGATCTGCTTGCAGTCCGTCACATGCAGCATTTGAGGTACTGGACGGATTCCTATATGTTTTGCGACCGTAGTAGGATACGCACATGCGACCACGGCGAGACGCAGGTGGGTTTTAGCACTTTTGTACCAATTTACCAGGGCTTGCCTGGCTTGAAGCGGGCAGTAACAAACCATTGAGCAACCAGAGGTGCCCTCCCATAGTCAGAGAAAATGCGTGGCGCTCGTGCTCTACGCCAATCAAGCAGTGAGCTTATAACCCGTAGATCCGCTGTATCTCATGGCTACTTTTTACCGGAAGAGGGCCAACGACCAATTCCTAAACCCCAAAGAGGATGGACTAGGATACATGCAGGGCGCCCATGACAGGAGAACGACTTGGTTCCACAGCCAAAGCATTCGATTAAATGTACACCCGAAAGTTTGCGGGTCTAGCACATGGTCAGTTCAGTGACTCGTGCGACTTGGTCTCCCGGCTCTCAGCAGGAAAAATTG